TCATACTTTATAAGTATTAGCCAGCACAGATTTACTGAGAAGTCATTAGGATCACAGACTCCCACCCTTCATTACAGCTCCATCACATCATAACTTCATTTCTGGATACAAGGCTCCTAAACCTGTAGCACAACACCCTCAATTTGAGACATTAAGAATACTTTCTTGTTAATAAGTAATTGGATTGAGAGTAAAAAGCAGAATCAAAGGATAACATACTACACAAAAATTAGACTCCCCTAGCTGCATACCAATCAGCACAGAAGTAAATTCTTTGTTAACATGGCATGAATATCCTCAAGACTGAAACTTCCTAAACGTGTTCTACCAACCAATTCCTTGTATTTGCCCCTTCTAAAAATTACAAAAAGCTCATTTCTGACATTTTTTTTAAATTTGATTTGTTTTTTTCAGCAGCGAGATACACAGCACAGCAGGGAGAAGGCAGAAGAGTGTGGCTACTAACACAAGGACACAGGAAGAAAGCACAGCATGGAAATACTGTGTACTCACAACAATTCCTTCTGTTTTGCTTCAAAAAATCATCTGAAGCTGGAAAGTAGAGCACACAATTCTCCTAAAACCACACTTCGGACACTTAATGAGATTCTCTTTTACATAGAAGTTGAAAATAAATAAACTAGGCTGAGTTCATCGAACCTGAACTTGCTAACACAAAAAAAGGGCAGGTCCTACCACCTTCTCCCAGTACTCTAATCCAAACTGCATGCTCCCTTCACTTCATTTGCACCAGCTCTTTCACTCAGTGCTAAGGGAACAGCCAGTTCTGCTAACCTGGCAGAAGGCAAGCCTTCTGGTAAGGCAAGGCAGAAAACGTTTCTGTCAAGTGAGCTGATAAAAACAATTCATCAAATGGTCAGTCATGGAATAGAGTGCAGCACATGAGGAGTAAACTGCACTGGTACAAGCAAAACAGGGAAGACCTTTCATGCTGGAAGCAGCTAAGTATTACACTTCTAGCTTTCTGCACCCTTGTATCTTCAAGCTTTTTCTATAATATATCTAAATATAAATGTTCTATAGTGCTGCAATACAACATTAAGAAGGGAGATTTTCGAAACAGAACAATCAGTGAAAGTTTTTGCAGGACTTCTTGCTTTTCATTTCTGTCATATTGGGCTATAATCCGATTTTGAGCATACTGAAACTCCAGAATGCTGTCAGGTATGCTAAATGATTCAATACCGTATATTGTTTGCAAGTATTTTACCATCTTTTTAACTCGAGCCTTGTATTCAGCATTTTTATTGCGCAAAAGGTTAGTGTTATACACACTGGCCATTACGCTTACACTAGTCATTCAGTTTGTGAATAAAAGCTGTACCCACACAGAAACATCAAAACTAGCTCCAGAGGCTAGATAAGGCTCAAGCAACAGATAAATGTGGCTGAAGCTTTGAAAACCCACTCCAACCACACTATATTTAAGTAAGAATGCAAACATTTGATGCAAAAAGAAAACAAAAGAATTCGTGATCATTCCAACAAAAGACAAAGTGGGTCTAAAAGCAGTATAATGATCTCAGGAAAGCAAAATGTATGTATGACAAATCTTCTGTTTTCTTTAACAAGATACCCAGGTCTGGATTGCACAAGAAAGCCACCATCTAACTACTAAAGCAATGGATGTTATAGAAGTGCAACGAGGCAGGATGTTATCCTTTGCAACTGAGGCAGCAGCAAACTGGATTTAGACTACAAACTGCCAGTTGCAGTAGTATGCAGCAGTATAGCACTGAGCCACAGGAACCACAATATTCTTGTTAGTCGTGTCTTTTATGAGGAATATGCTGCCACCATTCTCTTGGTGTTGCTGTGACAACAAACCACAGGGCTAAGTAATCCTGATGGTACCTACAATGTTATTTGTGTATCACATTACCCTGTTAGAGGCCTGCACTCAACTGCTAAAGAAACAATCACAGTCTTAAGGATCTGAATTTGCCCATTTCTCATCCCTAGAAGGATGAATTCACTCTGCAAATGTTTCCATGCAGCTACAAAACCACATACAGAATATCTGACTATAATAATAAAACCTATCAGAAGTGCCAATGTCTTCCAGAATTACTGTAGCCCACACAGCACTTAACACTTTGTAGAGATGCCAAGCAGTTAAAATAGAATTTGCTCTCCTCTGAAAGAATCAACTGATCTGAAAAACTGTAATTAAACTTTATCACCTAGGAAAGAGGTGATTTCTACTCATTTAATGATCCAATCTGTTGATGCTGGTAGAGCAAAAGTATTACCAGAAGCATGCTTTATTCTTTCTCACCTGTAGTTACGGACTTCTGAATACTGCTGGAGTTCACTGGATTGCACCATTGCTCTAGACAGAACTCAGCCTGACCTAAAATATGTCCATTCGATTTACAAAATGAACTTTATGTGCAACAACAGTCTTCTCACTTTCCTCTGACCAGAACAAATTTTAATTGAGTGTGAAAAAAATATGGGAAACTACAGGCAACAGAACTTAATATCTAACTCAGCTTTTTCAAAAGCCCTGGGAGCGTATGATCATTGCCTAATATTCCTCTTGCCTCATTTTAACTACAGCCTTAAACACAAAAGGAAATGAGAGACCTAAATTAAATAGTCTCTTTTCAAGTGTGAAAACTTTAAAGTAGCATCACAAACGGGACATTAATCCCTGAACTGGCTGAAACAATTATGTTTTCATAAAGCAAGCTTTTCCATGATACTTATGAAGCATATAACATAGTAAAAAACTTGCCCGGAATATTTCAGCTCTTTGCAGCAAACAAATGTATCCTTCATATCACATTCTAATATTATTTGTAAGACACCAGAGAAGACATGTTTGTGGAAAAAATCTTCAACAAGAAAAACCCACTGTATACCTTGATCAGTTTTTCTTGCAGTAATTTTTGCAAATACAGCAACAACTTTGGATACATAAAAAAAGGTTTAAAAAATATTTAATGAATGCAAATATACCTTAACATGCACAGCATATAAGCAGGGCAATCCTTTTTAATTTGGCATTTTAGTAAATCAAGCTGGTTTTCAAGTGACCAGATGCTCATAAAGGGGCAGGACCATGTAGCTACACTGGAGAAAGCATGACCTCCTTTCTCATAAGCAACTAACTTTTAGATTGGTTCAGCTATAATATAATTTCATCCTAACTGCAAAAAATCTTTCCCATTGCCAGTCATTACTGCAATATTAATAGCCCTATTCATCCAACAACTGAATGAGTTCACAGCGCTTCACCATAATTTCAAGCTATATATACACACCTTGCATATTACTAGCACCAAAATGTAACTGATATAATTTCTCTTCTTTGAAAATGTCTAATTTATTCTTAATTTCAAGCATCTTCAGTTGGGCAGCAATTACAAAACTTCAGTTTTTGTTCAGTGTCCAAGATCTGACTGCTACTCTTTTTCAACACGTAATTCACATAAGACACTGTATAGAATACTTAACAAATGTACTGTTTCATGTAGCTTCGGAGGGCACTGCATGCTTCAGGACTCATGCTTCAGGAAATTCTCAACATAAAAAGACAAAGAACACCACAGAAAAATTCAGGAGTTAGGATCCCCGATTTGCCACTAATAAAACCAGAACTAACTCATCTAACAGGGGCCTCCAAGTAGAAATCATTTTGTCAAGCATCACTTCAGCATCACCATGGATTTGCAAAACCACAAATAGCACAGACCTCTAAAATCCCTAACTATAGCACTTGCAAAAGTAGCCCACAGTAAAACACCTATTCAAAGTTAGAAGCCATGAAGTAACATTCAAATGTTTAAGCAAAGACCACAAGTTCTACTAGCTAAAAATATTTATATTAAAAATAATGCAAGAATTTTAGTTCACTAGCCTGCAGGAATACTTTGACAGCATGTAAAATTAGCAGACTGTTTACCTCCAGTAGATTGGTAAGAAAATCGGCAAGTCAGTCTTAATTTAAACCATCACCACAGCTACTACTATAACCATAGCAAAACACACACACAGCTGTGTCAGAGCCTTAATGGGTGTTGTTAAGAGAGTATAAGTATCACATACTGGGAACTCAAGAACTAGAGACATGTTGACTACAGTAAGGTATTTCTGAAGCATCATTTGGAATTGAATTTATTGTAGAGGTAAGTTCTATCTCAACCAACAGATAGGAGTAACCTATATGACTACAGAATATTATCTAGTGACTCTTATTAATGCTTAACGACTATTTGAAAAAAAACTCTAAGTTAATTCTAATATCATATGCAGTAGACCTAACAGAGAGAGCAAGAGAATTATCTGCAGTCTGCCTAGCACACTTTCCAGCTAGAAACATACAGACAAATCCACACATTACTATTTCTTCTACCTTTCAAACAATTGGGAGCAACTAGAAACTCACTCTCTACTTTTTCTCAGACAAGAAAAGGGCAGAGAAGGGAGTGTTAAAGCCTTCTTTAACTCCCCATCTTCTCCTCTGATTAGGTTTAGACAAATTAGTATTTATTAGAAATTGATTCCCACCACCTTGCAGCAGAAGACATAAGAATGACAGTGTGAGTCCAGGCTGCTTATGTAGCTGAAATGAGCTAAGAAAATCACTCTGGGTGTTTGGGGTTTTTTTCAGCAGCAATGGGGGGGAACAATGGACATTAAATTAAAAACAGGCACTTCTCTGAAAAGGAGATAGGTCCTCTTAACAAGTACAAATATACACTGTATTCACATTCTTAGTAGCAAAGTTAATTACAATGCATACAATTGCATCACTTCATACACAAAGAACTTTTATGCATTTTTGCAAATGTTTGAGTATCTCCTTCAAACAGAGCTGCTCCAACATTAATTCATCCATAACTCATCCAGATTATAAAATTATTTCTTGCCAGTTAGCTGGCTTTCACATGGGGCATTATCTTGAAACAGAAAACAGAGTGCTACAACACCACTGTACTTTAGATTAATAGGTGAATTCAAAAAGGACATACCCACTGCTGGTGCATCGTATTCATCCCCAAGTAAAATTTCAGGAGCAGAATATGCAAGAGATCCACAGCTTGTGGTGAGCTTCTTTCCAGGCTGAAATTTATTGCTGAATCCAAAATCAGTCAATTTCACAAGTCCTTGTTTTTCAAAGAAGACCACATTCTCTGGCTTTAAGTCTCTGTGAACTACGTGCAGTTTATGGCAGTAGGATATAGCATGAACTATTTGAGCAAAATATTTTTTTGCCAGATCCTCATTCAAACCTTCTTCATGTTTCATGATGTAATCGAACATATCTCCTCCATCACCTAGCTCTAAGATAAGATATAGCTTAGTCTGGGTATCAATCACTTCATACAGCCGTACTATATTGGGATGTTGCACTAGTTTCATGCATCTAACCTCTTGAAAAAGATGTCCAGTGGCTAAAGTGTCTAGTTTGGTCTTGTCAATTACTTTTACTGCTACTTTTTCACCTGTAAAGACATGACGAGCAAGTTTGACCACAGCAAAATGGCCTCTGCCCAAAGTTTTATCCAAGTCATACAATCCTGCAATTTTTCCATCGTATCCTCGCTTGAAGCCTGCCATTCTGTTTCAGAAGATGATATAATATTTAAGCTCTTTGGAAGTGCGATCTTTTCATATACGAGTATCTGATGCAAATAAATAGCCCATTGTCACTGCCAAGCATACCTAAAAAATTAAAGGATAAGATTACGCATTTGTGTAAAAATACACAAAAATATTACCCTGTAGTTCTCCTAAAGTCATACTGGCATATTTTTACAGATTACTTATGAAATTCTTCAGGGGTTTTTGTAAAGGGTTTGATAAGCCATGTTGTGTTAACCAAATTTCTGAAATCACAACAGTGCAACAACGAAAATTTCTCTTAAACAGTGGCCTTCATGTTTTTGAGTTAGAAACCTTGCAAGCAACACTTGAAAAAGTCAGCATTATGAGGACTGTTAAAATTGGCAAATCTGAAATATGTAACTTTTACAGCTACATCAGAAACCAGCCAGGCAGCACAGAACACTGACAAGATGAACATGCTTAATTTACTTAGTTTTGACATATTCCTTCATGTTGTAGCATGAAACAGCAGTAATACAAATTTTTGAATACTTTCTCCCTTTTAACAGCTTCTTGTTTAGCAAGCTCAGACTGACATAGAAGGCTTAATTTTGTTACTCTAGTTTGAGCATTATCAATCAATACTGAAATTACAACAAACAAAGCTTTATAGGCTGAAATGAAACATTTGGCTTGGATGTACTCTTAGTGCTAAACAAAAACGTCTTCTTAAATATTTTGACTGGAGTTACAAAAACTGGTGATAAAAAGTTTGCATGTAGGCTGCATATGTTCAGCAGTCCTGAAAATGAGTCAGAAGGGGAAAAAAGTGTAAAGGAAAGGAAGGGAACTCAATGGTTCAGCTTACTTATGCTGAACTCCCTCTTACCAGTTAATTTGGCATTTAAGCAAACAAGATACAACTTATAAAACATTCATATTCAAACCTGGTTTTTAAGGTCTTATGTCCCATTGCCATTTTTTTCTTTTTTTCACATTCAAAACTTTCCCAGAACTTTTCCTGCATCTTTAACTTAGATTGAGATTTACATAAAAATCTGTAGCTATCAAAAAGCTAACCATTTCTCCCACTTTGAGTGCAAAGTAGCTAGAAATATTAAAATTAGAGGGCTTATTGCCAACTCAAAATACAGAAAACAGCTCTTTAGCATGTATTTTCCATTTCAAAACTGAACTTCAGAAAAAAAAAACTCTAAAAATGAATCTGGCAAACAAACTGACCCTTACATTACTTATTCTCAAGTCAAAAATGTAAGCATTAGATTAAAACCACTCCCTGCTAAACAAGTTATTTCACAGGCAGTGAAACTAATGAACCTGGTTTCATATGGATTCAATTACAAGGTTGGGGGTCCTATGAGGATTCTCTGATGTTTAGCAATCTCACCTTACTGCTTCTCTCAGGAAGGAGCCATGGTGTAACCTCTTCTCTATGCAGCTGTCTACTTCCATTAAGTCCGTGGGAATTCAGTTTGAGACCTCCACCCCTGTAAAATTTGAATTAAATCAATCAACTTCTGAAACCTCATAACTTAGACAAAGAACAGGGTAAGTGTAACAATTGCAAACACTGGGCTGTGGGGCTCTTCTTTAAAGATTATGATCATGCTTTAAAAACTTCACCGCGTTTTGTGTTACTGTACCCTTTCATTCTGCTACTAAGCTCTATGTGCTTCAGATGCTCTTCCAAAAACCATTTCACTGGAAGATGCCACAGAATCAAAACTGGGGTTGGCATTATCTGCTTCCCATCTCATCCCATACTGCTCATCTTACAAAGTTTCCCCTACTATTCCCAGTGAATCATGTAATACCATCTCATCCTTATTTCAGAAAGTACAAAACTAGTTTAGAACATGCTACATTAAACTGAACACCCATGCCAAACACTCTCCTATCCATTACAGGTTGCACAGGGAAGAACATAGTACAAAGGCAAACACAGTAAACAATGAAAAAGATTTAAAACCTTCTTTACATCAGAGCACAGTGGCTTCTTGTTTAATAATGCCTGACAGATTCCACCCCAGCCCTCATGAAACTGGACAGGTGCTTTATTAAGGCATGTGAATTTTCAGTATCAAGAACATCCTGCAACAAGGGTTAACTCACTTAACTACGTGCTGTGAGAAGAACCACTTCCTCTTGTTTTTAATCCCCTGATAACCTGTGCATCTTCTAATTCACTGTCTGGTCCAAAACAGGAACTATCATACTCTATTTACCTTGCCTCAAGCAACTCAGTTTTAGCTTCCTCTCTTCCCAGATTCAGTTCAATCTTGTTCAAGTCCTAGTCTGTCACTCCTTTTAGAGGTTACTCTTTTTTTTTCTACTACTACTGAGCACTGACATAATGTTTTCATTTAATGTTTTATTATTGTTTTACAACGTTCTGTCATACTGACCTAACCCCCAAAATAAAGGCTAATGAAAAACAGTCTATATATACATGCAAAAACCACTTAACCTTAACCTGTATGAAGCAATAGGGGAGATAGTAATCAGCTGTTCCACATATGGTTGTGCGACTGTGTGGCTCAAGTCTCAATCCTAAAAAGACTGCAAGCATTTAAAGAAAGAAGAAAAAAAAAACAAAACAAAAAACCACCACTCTCCCCCACAGAAACATGCTTTATAAAATTCCTGTCTTGATAGCTTCTTAAGAAATAAAAAAGAGCACTTAAAGACAACTTTTTTAACTGCCATTAGGACATAACACTTCCTTACAAATCTGTTTTACTTATAATGCATTCTATACTCAATACTTTATGCTAAACTGGAGTAGTTTAGTATCTACTTAGCATCACTTAAATTTAAAAAACAACTTTAAAGTTGTGTCAAAAAACAGACACTTGATCCCTATGCAATTGAAGTTACCAAGTTATCATGAAAAATCTTTACTCTCTGAGGAGACATGGCTTTAAGAGAGATTTTCTGTTAAGTCTTGGGTTCAAAAACAACACCTACAGACAAGACAGCTTTTTTAGTGCATGGCAAAAAATGTTACTGAAAGAGATAAGGAAGATGGAGGTAAAAAAGCACCAGTCAATTTTGAATTTGCTGTTCTATCTTAAATTCAAGAAGGTTCCATCCCTGGCAGAGCAAAAAGGAGAGAGTAAACCCAGCCAGATGTAACAGAATGCAGCTTGTCTGAACTGAAGTAACTACAACACTCAGCAGTAAGGAAAGATTTATACTAATTATTTTGTTCACTTGGCATATTCTCAACCATCTTTGTACAAACTCAACAACTGATTTATCTCTAAATGACAGAATACACAACAACATTGCTGGCACAAAATTCCAGCAAAAATCAATTATAGTTAAGCCATGGAGTAATACATCATACAGTACTCCATAGGACAAAAGCTGACAGAAACGGAAGATAAACTATGGTCACTAATGTTGCAGCCCCATTAGCAGAAATAAAATTAATACAGATTCATTAACAGTTTAACATAAAGTCTCCACAGTAACAGACCAATTAACCTTTAATTCTGTGGGTTTAAAATAAAACTTCAGACATGAATCTCCCGCAGCTAAACACAAGGATCTCACACCCACATATGGTTTGAACGGAACATACAAAATTAAGAATAGTTCAGTAGTAGGAAATGGATGCAAAGCTGTCACAGTGCATAGATACAAGCTTGATCACAATTTAAATAGGCTACTTAAAGGATCACAGTTACAATACAAATACGTTTCAGAAAAGTAATTTCTTTTTCTTAGTTGCTCTCTGGAATAAGAAAGCAGAATTTTGAAAGCACTTAAGGATCAACCAATAGTGCAGTTTCACAAGGTACCAGTTTTCAAGCTGAAGCCTCTTTAAGACCCTTTCTTTGCAGCTGTTTCCTTAGTTACATCAGTAAAACTTCTGGAGCAAAATATAAACGGAACTGCCCAAAACTTCCAGATTTAACACATCTACTTACCATCACACTCCAAACTGCTATCTTTAATGACAGATCATTTCATTGATCCAGTTTACAGTCTGACCTCATGTCCATTTCTACCAATGGAGGAGCTGCAAACTGCAGCACACAAAATTTCAACCAGCCATACTTTGCCAGCAAGCAGAACTACAGCCTGAGGAAAAACACTTAAAAGACAGTTATATCACAAAAAATATCTGCCTTTCCTTTTATTCACATTACCTCAAGTCCTTTATGAGTTTATTTTTCAGCACTGGGTTTTCTAGTTGGTGAGATTACTAACCATTAGCAGCATATAATCCATGTGGCTAATTATGTTTTTTTTTTAAAAAATGCCATTTTCCCTAACTATACCAGAATGCAGCTACGCCCTTCATACTCATTTTATGCAATGTCAACATTTGCCAGTAAACAGCTGGCCAGTAAACAGAGCCTTCCTTCCATAGACACTCAAATACCCTATCTCACAAAATACTTCAAACAGCTTCTGTAACAGAGATCTGCAGAAGTTGTTTTGTAGTATCACAAGCATACTATTGAGAAGCTTAACAACAGTACTGTGACTCAACCATCTTTAAGAGATGGACGAATAGATCTCTAATGGATCTGTTTAGAAAAACAGCATGTTTCAGAAACACTAGTTTTTCTTTCAGTAATTCATCCTGTTCAAAAATTTTTATTAGATTATACATTACATATAAGACCAGCCTAATGCATCTTACCTTAATGTGTGTATTAGCTTCTTTAGAAAATTAAGACTCAAGGTCCCATTTCAACAAAATGTTATAATACTATCAATGTAAAAACTTCCCTGCATTATCAGGCTAACAGACATGAAAGCTAAAGTAATCTCTGTCCACAGCTAACCATTCCTGTCTCCCTTCAGGATAAATGAAGATTCACTCAACACGGATAAGAGTCGATGATAAAACAAATTGCACCCTGAAGCAGATAGCTAAACAGATCAAATGAATCATTTCTTAGAAGCACACATTTTCATTTTCTGTAACAGGAGTTTAGGATGACTAGTTCAGTGGATGCATACACTACACACATCCAAAAGACACATTAAATAATTTTCACTCTGTTTCTCCTTTTGCTCTCTTTTGTCTCAGATGAGTAAAAGCATCTATAGCAATTATTTATTTACTACACAATTATATGGTAAGAGTAAGACTTATGTTGCTAGTCATCTTAGAAATAGGAAACCAAAATTTGACATAAACTGATCAGAGATCCAGAAGCAATTTTTTACTCTGAAAATAATTTGTACAGACCATTAGAATCTGAAAGCAAATATCAACTCAGTATATAAACTGTGCAAGTATAATTTTCCACATTTTTTCCAGTATTTCCTGTCAATTTTTATCTGCTGTAAAATACCTCCACAACCTAATCTATGAGCCTTTAAAAACAGTCTTTGTTACTATATGAGCCACTCTTTTATATAATGATGCCTTCACCAGTGTGTCAAACTGCTTTCCCCAAGAGGGTTTTTGATCACTTTTATATAAGGGAAAGCCAATATGCTAGACATTGGTACAAAGTGTTACAAGACTGAACTGTGAAGAACATACACACCAAATTGCACCATGCATACACACATATCTTCCCCTTTACTGATTACAAACCCCGTAAGCTCTCCTGCTCCTGACAAGTTCCATAATAAAACACTACACTAGATCTTTTCAAGGTGTACATGCACTTCTTTTATTTTCATATTAGCCACAGCATCAGCATCCACCTCATACTACAATGACAAGATGTATCAGCAAATCTCTCTACCATTCAGCATGGCTACAGCTAAAATGATGAAGATAAGAGTTACCAAGTAGTTCTGTGCTCCAAACATAAAGGAAGAATTAACCTGCAGGATCTAACTGTATTCCTTACTTTTAAATAGCCTTCAGAATTTTGTTCTGAAAGATATGAGAGCTGCCAATTGCAGAAGCTTTGCCATTAAACATTTGGCAAACCTGTAGTGAAGTGTCAGTTTTTCACGGTTTCAGAATGTATTACAGGCATGAGAGCTACTGATGCCTAGCCTTAACTCTTCCAGAATTAAAAACAAATAAAAATAAATCCAGAAATAAAAATAAAGCCCTAACAAGAATACTTCAACCCTTAAGGTCCATTATCCAGTGAAGAGCCAGCAGCAGAAATTTGACAGGCCAATAAACTTAATACAACATTGCTCTTCAACCTATAAACAAAAGCCTGGAGGAGACAGGGGTAGCATTACAGATTTGAGAAGAAATAAAAGTCACTAATGTTATTTTGCAATAGAAAATTATGAAAGCCTGCATTACCTGAGATCTAAGAGCAAGACTCTGAGGCAGCTCTGATGTATGAGAAAAATTAAACTTACAATGCACGACTCAGGATATCACCAAATAGAGAATACACTTATTTCTTAGACAAGAAATTCCCATTGAGACCTACAGATTGCTGTCTACCATTCTATTTTCTTGAAGATTAGTACAGTCACATCAAGCATGGAAAGTTTAAATTTTCCTCTTTCACATGGGTTTACAAAGCTGTCGTGAGTGGTTTGCAGAACACCAGCAAAGAGCAAACTAAAATATGAGAACTGTGTTGTAGAGCCTCACTAGATAGTTGGTATCTCTGTGAAAACCATCTTCAATACAGACAAGTACAAAAAGCCACTGGATTTGATTTAGTCCTTCAAAGCCTCATTTTAAACAGTCAAGAATGTTCATTTATGAATATACTCTTTGTCCTGGGTTCAGCAATAGCAGTCATTTTTCTCCTTCTTAGTAGCTGTAGCAGTGCTGTGTTTTTGACTTTCAGCCTGGGAACAGTGCTGATAACACCAGTGTTTTTAGTTGCTACTTAGTCTGACCAAGGACTCTGAGTCTCATGCTCTGCCAGGGAGGAGGGGAAGCCGGGAGGAAGCAGAAAGAGGATACCTGACCCAAACTAACCAAAGAGGTATTCCATACCACAGCACATCATGCCCACTATATAACCTGGGGGCAGTTACCCAGAAGGGCTAGATCACTGCTCGGGTCAGGCTAGGTATCGGTCAGCAGGTGGTGAGTGACTGTATTCTCTTCCCTTGTTATTTCACTTATCATTATTATTATTGGTGGTAGCCGTAGTAGTTTGTGTTATACCTTAGTTACTGAGCTGTTCTTATCTTAACCCATGGGAGTTACATTCTTTCAATTCTCCTCCCCATCCCTCCAGGAGCGGGAGGGAGGAAGGGGGGGAGTGAGAGAGCAAGCTGCGTGGCTGGGTTTAAACCACAACACTCTTCCCACCCCACCCAAAAAAAAATTTAAAAAAAAAATCCAACAACAAAAAACTAGGGGCATGAAACTGACTATGAAAATTTTCATATCAGACAAAAATCATTGATTCCTGATGGTATCACCATCTTTTAGACAGAACACCACACCTTTATTTCCAGAAAAACTACTGCAAGAACTTCACAAAAACCAGACAACTCTGATTTCTATTCCACCAATCTAGACTCTCTTATAGCAATCGCCTCATCTACTCCATGTTCATGAATCCTCAAAATTGCTTTGCCTGTTTCAAATGTCAATTTATTAACATGACCACATTGTTTTCTCATGCAAGACAGTGTAGCAGAGACCACTAACAGAAGCCCTAAACATTCCACATTAATCAATGAAAACTCCAGTGTGCCTTATCATTTTAACAAGTTACCACTGTTGTAACACCTAACTTCATCTTTTCTGTGTCAATTCAGAATCATAAACATGGTTTTTATTCTGTGTCAAGGGAGGTGAAAGCATCAAATGCTAGGTCAAATATGAGTTTTCGGATGCAAACGTGTATACATATTGTTAATACCTATGTCATGGTTTAACCCCAGCAACTAACCACCACAAAGCCACCCCTGCCCATGGGATGGGAGAAGAATCAGGGAAAAAGGTAAAAAGTCATGGGTTGAGGTAAGAACAGTTTAATTGAAGTAAAATTTCAATAACAAAAATGTAAGGAAATGGGGTGTCGGGGATAGAAACAAGAACAGAACAAAAAAACCCAAATGATGCACAACACAGTTGCTCGGCACCTGCTAACCGATGCTTTGCCTGTCCCCGAGTAGCAATCGGTGGCTCCCAGCCAACTCTCCACAAGTTTCTGTAACTGAGCATGACATTCTATGGTATGGAATATCTCTTGGACTAGTTTGGGTCAGCTGTCCTGGCTGGGCTCCCTCCCATGACGAGCAATAATAATGTCTATTAAATTTCTTAAGAACAATCTCTGAGCTCAAATATGAAGACAGCTTCATTTGTTTAGCAATACCTTTGCTAACATTAAACTTAAGTGCAGAATTGACTTAACTTGCCACTGAGATACTGACATTTTCCATTTAGGATACAAACTACTTAAACCTTAAGAATCAGATCTACTCCAATCTCCAGCCTATACTTCATCCTCATTTATAGCATTCTAATCCTATAGCATCCTTACCAGTTAGTAACTGTCAGACACCTGAAATTCACCATGATTCAACACGAACTAAAATTACAGAAGTCTAGGCTATCATCTTATCTCTCAAGTAAAGTTGGTTTAAGGCCAGCCAGTAACTAGATAGTAGACTGCTGCAGAAAACACAGAATGATACATGAAGAGTAACAACCAGGCTGTCAAATTCAGTGCAGCATTTATGTCCCAACACTGTTGAAGATCACTGTAAACTGAGAGATTCAGCTTCACAGAAAGTGAACATGCTCTGTTTTATATTTCACAAGTACAAAAAAAAAAAAAATACAGAGCACTTTTCCCTCATTCAGTTTTAACATTGGTGACTTACCAACTTATATATACTAGAACTCTGCCAGGGTAAGTTATCCTAGAATTGCAAGTGAACACACAGTTTTTCAAATCCTCTTAAACTCTTACATAATACTGTTATGTGTATTAAAACAACAGCTACTTTACATTATTATAGAAGCTGCAGCATTCCAGTTCAGTGCTTGAAAATAGCTTGATAAGGAAGATGCACAGAACCTCACAGGTTACTAAAGTGAAGAGTGCATGAAATTTAATACTACTATATTCATAATAAACTACAGTTCAACCTGATATACAAAAGGTAGTGTCCCTGATCTGAACCACATTTCATCCATTTCTTATTTTAAAACATAATTAGAAAACACTATTAAGTAGGAATGAACAGTTCATCAATACAGTTACAGCATTCCAGCGGAATTTTGAAAGCAGACAAAACCCAAGAAAAAGTGCATTATTTCATGAGAGATTCTGAGGAAAACCTAGCTGCACCAGGATATTGTGCCCTTGAAAGCAGGGCAGGCAAAGCAAGACAAAGGCACTGGTTTGGCATTACAGTTGCTAGTAGAATAAAAAGTACCATGATACACTGAAGGTGTAGACTGCAAAATTATTTGAATAAGATATTGAAGGCAGCAAGTTAGAGCTTTAGAAGAGATCAGGTTGGTCAGAACAGTGCGCAAGGAAGAGGACTATTATAAGCAGAATAGTATCTGCAGTAGCCTATTGACATGCACACTCTTAACATGCTATTTGTTTAGAATATTCAGAGAGCAGACTATGTATCTACAGTGTAACCACCCAGAGCACATGAGAATATCAGTTTGCACAGCCAGATGACTGTACAAAAGTACCTGTACTTTCCTGCTTCTTAATTGTGCAAAACCAAAAAAACAGCCAAAGAGAAAATCCCACATGTAACCCCAGAGCAGTTTATCACTAAGTCCACTTACAATGTCATCTTCCCTCTTCCCTGTGTTTGTTGGAAGCTTCAGGTGTGGATCACAAAGATTCTCTTAAAAAAGCCAGATGCATGTGCTGTCTTAAATGATACATGGGCTCCCAGGCATTACTCTAGCATTCAGGTTAGCTTCTTTTCCCAAACATTTGAAAAATCATTCTACCACCCTCCTGGTCATTTGCACCATTCTGGAAAAATGTGAGACAAGACTGGACATTCTCCTCCTTAACTTGAATGGTTAAGTCTCTAAATCTAGATGCTTTCATGCACTAGAAGTAAAAGGGGCAGCTATTAGCCTATTTAAGTTAACATTTCAACATGTTCCTTAACGTAAAATCCGATTACGTTCTGTAGAAATGACTGTTAGCTCTTGCAAGTTTATTTAAGATTTGTTCTTTCTAAGGATTAGCAATAGCACAAAACCACCAGCCAAATTCCCACTTCCTGTGATATACAGTGATCAAAAAAATCCCAACCCTTCAGTAACCCAGTTCCTAATGGTGCATGCCTTGCAAGACCTGCTTATTTCCAACCTAATAAATATTTTCCTGTAAACACCTCTATATAGAATTCATTTTGCTGAGATTCATTAAACTGGTCCTTCCCCAGAGCCTGACGATCTAAATAGATCCATAATAAACAACTCCAAAAAGCAGCCTATATGACTAAGTAGTGACTGCACTACAGAGGGCAGGCGTAAGCAGATTTACATGCAATTCATTCATGCTAGATGGCTGTAAACCATATAATACACTTCAGCCCCAGGAACTGCAATGGTACCATTAAGGAAACCACTTCTTTGCATATCTGCTCTTAATAAGCCCTTGAAAGCAAGATGATCAGTAAGAAACTATCTTCATATAAGCAAAAACCCAAAGCTTTTTATATGCCCATATGCTTTTGTAAAGGGTTCTCCCCTTCACAAGTGTTTCAGTACAGAATCATATCACAGAATGGTTTGGGTTGGCAGGGGCCTTAAATTAAGCCCATACCAATAAAACTATTCAATCTGAAAATAGGTCACATTTGTCTCCAGCCATCCTCTGGTCAATACAGGCTTTTTTCCTGGTGGATACTCCCCAATACTTTATCCAGTGTACTTATTAGGAAAAAATTAAAAAAAAAAAAAAAAAAGGAAAAAACACCAAACAAAATCCCCTACCAAACTGAACCACATAGGTCTGTCCTTCAGCTATTACCAAGACTGTACATCAACCACAAACATCATCTTCCATAAATATAACCAGTGGAGTACCATCTGGGTGCCAAAACGTACCTAGCAGAAAGCACCAAGACCTCTATCCAGGGCTCACCTACTCATCCCACCGATTCTATAACGATCCAAAGGCAGCAAATTCAGTACAAGAAGCGTATTGACGGAAGTAATACATGTATCCACAAAGATACTTGTGCTATAACTGCTCCGTCAGGAACACGTTCCAGCTCCGCGGAGAAAGCCACCCGCTTGCATTCAGAGAACCTGTTGGCTACGCACCCGGTTCCGAGGGGCAAGATGCACCGTCATTCCCCCCAAGCGCACCCGTGACCGGACCGACTCCATAACAGGAGAGCTTTCGCCTCCCTTGTTTATCTCTTTTTGACTCAAGCGACAACAAGTACAAGGCGGAGCGGGGATGCCACGCTGATCCCCGGTGCGCTGCTCCAGGGCGGGCAGTCAGGGTCAGCCACGCCGCGAGGATCCGGCCACACGCACTGTGGCCTCGGAGGGGGACAGGGCTCTCGTGGGGGGACACCAGAGGCTCCCGCCAGGATCCCACTGTCCCCACTGCAGTAAAACCCGCTTCTCTCCCTCTCCCTCCTCATATTCCGCTCCTCCTGCCCCGGGCGGCACCGAGACACCGACCTTCGGCGGCCAGGAAGAGTACCCGCACCGCCTCCTCCTGGGCCGAGGCCGCCATTGGGCCAGCCGGGGAGAGCCCGGCAGGCGACGCCGGCTCCGGGAGAAACGGAAAAGCGAAAGGAGGGGAGAAAGAGACCCCAACACACCCCACCGGCCAGGCCCAAGCTGAACCCGGCCCAAACCCGCCGCAACTTACTGCCTGCCGCAGCGGCGGCGGCGTCTCTTCCTCGGGCCGCCGCGCCCCGCGCCGCCCCCTGCATGGGCAGCACCCGCCGCGACTGCCCTCGGGAGCGGCGGCAGGGACAGGGAGCGCGGCGGGAAGGGAGGGAAAGGGTCAAAGACCGCAGCGGAGAATCTCGGCCGGGCCGCGTAGGCTCCTACCCCTCGCCTGTCTGTGCCTGCCTGCCCGTCGCTCCGCCGGGCCGGGCCCTGCCGCTGCGGCGGCTCCGAAGCGCAACCGACAACAACGCCCGTGATGGCTCGCGGAGAGACGTTGTGAGGTTGGGGGGAGGAAGGGAGGGGGGGGGGGGGGGGGGGGGAAGCGAGGGCGAGGCGGGGCAACGGACACCCGCGCGAGCCCGCGAGCCGCGCAGCGCTGCGCTGCGCCTGCGCGACTAAGAGGCCGCGCCATTGCCGTCACGGGCGGGCCAATGGCGGGCGGGAAGGGTGAGGAGCAGCAGCGTGAGGGTAGGGCAGGAGGGAACAGCTAAGCGGAAGAGGGGTGAGTTGGCGGCAGTGGGGAAGAGGATAAGTTCCGGGACCTGCTTTCTCTGCGGCTGCCTCCATGTCCTGAGCAATTCGGCCTGGAAATGGAACAAATAAGAGCTCAGAGGAGGGAAGACGAAGTTCCCGGGCCCGCCGCTTAGATGGCGGCCGCCCCCCTTTTCTGGAGGGCTAATTAAATGCAGTGAAATGGCCAACCGCTGGTGCGATCGCAGGTGAAAGGAGTAGAAATAGTAGGCTATTAATGAGAGTACAGAAAAGGTGCCCCTTGCGTCCTGGGCAGCTCGCCCAGGTTGCGATGGTGTGCGGGCAGCGAGGCGCGCTGCGTTGGGCTCCGCTGTGGTGGTGGGGACGGGATCGAGGCGGGTAGTGGATGGAGGTCAGTTGGGGCTAGTGAGATGAAAGGGTGACATTGAGGCTAGTAGGAGAAAATAGGGCAGGGCATGAGCCTGGTAAGTATTTCAGGGGGAAACAGCCGTACGTGTAGTGAAGGGGAAGGAAAAACCTTGAGCCATTGTGCCACAGAAGTATTCAGGCTCCTATGTGCTAAGTAGTATGAGCAAAGAGGTTGCTTGGAGCATCAGAAATAATGCAAGACTTTCCTCCAGATATCAAGGAAAGAAAATGTTTGAATATCAAGGGAAAGGAAATATTTAAAAGTAGCACTTTTCAAAGTACTTTATTTTTCTTTTTTTGTAATAGAAATGGCCAATCAAGGTATATGGGGAGGAAATACAGTGAAGCCCAATTTTAAGAAAATGTTTGATAAATGCTTCTTAGTTTTCCCTATGCTTTGACAAAATGTGTATGTCATTTCTTCATGAATAGCTTACATTACACTTTACATCAAGGGCTATTGAATTAGCCTAGAATTTCCTAGGTTGAAACCAATCATTTGTGAATAAACTAGAAAATACAGTTCAGGAAATAACTGAAATAGTGTGATCATAAATAATGGAAAGGACCTTATGATTTCATATTTTAAGGTTTCAAAAGAGAAATTAAAAAAAAAAACAAGATTTCAGGATGTATGGATTCTGATCACTGTTTCCTAATGAGAATGAAAATTTCTTCATTTTGTTGTCATTTATACCGTTCAGCAGGCCTGATTCCCAATTTTTACACCAATAAAGCATGACTGATTGGTGAATTTACAAGGAGGGTCTAATTCAAGAGACTGCAATAACCAGCCCATCACCTCTGGCTGCCTGGTCATCACTGATTTCTCAAGCCTGGATTTGTACTGGTGTGTAGCATGTGCCTGTTGAATTCCTGAGACTACTTCAGTCAGATGACACCTAATGTTTATTATCTGCTGGAATTTCGGACTAGATTCTGTCTCTCACTTCCTAGTTAATAATAGCTATGATTTCCACTAGCTTTTCTGTTTGGGTTTCATTTGCATGTTGGAGATGGCACATCTTACAGAGGCTATATACACATGGATGTTGTAGTGCCTCTTCAGTTCTGTGCTACTAAGTCTCCCTTTGCAAAATATTTTGGCATAAAGGACCTTTTTATATTTGCTAGAGATCACATTATCTGTTGCAGTAGCACACAGGGCATCACGCTCAGACGTACTCAACCATTTAGCATGTTTGTGTGTGTCTTTGCTTATGTGGGAGGACAGGTGGATGGAAAAGGATACATTTTCGGGGGGAAAAGAAAGACTGTTCTCACCTGCGGTATAGGTGGTGTGAGATACGATACTTTAGGTCACTTGTTCTTTAGTTCTGTTACTTGCTCAATAGTTCTTTTACTCAGTGGGATGAGTCTTTGTAGACAAATGCGTTTGAGACTAGGAAGAGGTAAAAGAGGCCAAGAAGTATACTTGCAGCACTCAAGGGGAGAGCACAGGTAGTGGAAAAAGTCTGGTAGTTTCAGTGGGCTGGAATTCAGTACAAGCTTATTTGCCTTCAGGCAGTTTTATTACTACTTACATTGAATCACACACTGCTGGGATGAGAACGATACCATTTCCTCACCAGGCCAGCATAAATCTCCTGTCACATATACAGCCACTTACACTGTGCTTTGTCTTCAGTGGTGCAGGACCTTGTTTTGGTTTTGTGAGGTTTTTCACAGTGAAAACTTAATTAATGTGGTAGCTACATGCCTGTAAAATCAGACAAGCTGCAGATAGGTTGGTAGAGGAGGTCAGCCCTATGCTGCTGCCTTTGGTTGGCCTCACCTGGTTTACCTCACAATAAAAATGCCTTTGTGTTGGTTTAAAACAGGATAACTAATATACATTAGCTATGCCACAGGGAAACACACCTCTTTCATCAGTCATTGGCCTGAATGTATTTGTCTAAGAAAGGTGACAGCAGCAGCCTCATGCATGTATTGAAGAGGTTGCTCATGGTATATATGCATCCAAATCAGACCAGACAGCATTCCTCTTTGCTAAATCCAAGCTTAGTCTACTATAGAAAGAAAATGGTAGATAAAATTTGTTTTTACAGAAGTCTTACTGGCTTACATTAGAAACAACCTTATTTTGTATAAGATACTAAACATGTAAGCCATCCATGAAAAGTATGGCACATATAAACGTGAAATTGTTAGTCTGCAGTACTTGAGGAGTAATATGTTTTTCAAAAGATGAATCATTACAGTTCACCTGTTTCAAAAATTAGGCTAATAATGTAAATTATTGTGTACCTTTCCAATGAAATGTGTTTGAAATGCAAAGCAGAAAAAAGTTGGGATGTTTCAAAATGCATGAGGCTTAAATGACTTTGGACCTGCCTTTGACAGTCTGTCCATTCTCCCTAGTAATTCCCAAGCCCGCTTGTCAAATCTGAATTAGGGGGTAGATATCTTCAGAGTTCCATGTTTTCCTAAGGTGCCATTAAACTAGGGCTAGGTACTGGTAAGGTACTCACCTTACCTGTACTTCCTGTACAGCAAAAGCTGCAGTGTGAGCTCACCCTTTATTAGTCACAGGAGAGTCCACATGGATGAGAGTGGCTTTTTCCCCTCAGGGTGGAAAAAGCTTCAGTAAAAATTCACACTTCATCAGACACTGGAGAGTCTGAGCATGAGGCTCAAATCCATAGGCCTCATTAGTTCCCTTAGTTATTAAATTATTAACAGTTTCCCTGACAAAGCAGAACAAAGCAGCTGCCTTCAGACAGATACAGAAGAGAACAATTTATACTGAAGCTTATGCAGGGCATTCAGATATTACATTTCTTAATAGCCTCGGTGCTTGTTGTTCTATACAGTTCCACCATCAAAGTAGCTAACTCAGGTTTCCGAGCTGATGCAGAAACTGCTGCATATGTCCAAAGGAATTACATACAGTCTCTTTTTGAGGTCAAAGCTCAACTAGAGTTTTAAAGGGTTCTCAAGGGCGACAAGAAGAGTTTCTGCCACAACTCCAAGAGGAAAAGACTGATAAAGGAAACTGTGGGCTTATTCCTGAATGCGGCAAATCACCTAGGAACACAGGAAACAGGTAAGGCTATGGTACCCAGAGCCATCTTTGCCTCAGATCT